TCTTTTCTAAGTTATTAATGGTGCTGCCCAGCTTGTGTTCAGAGTCTCGAGCTGTCTGTGTGTAATATGAGACGCAAGCCACAAACTGACAGTCTATATTTAAAGAAGTCACAAAGCGTTTCTGCTCCTGGAAATTTGGAAACGTAGGTTTAAGGACAAGCAAATTAGTTTCTCAGCAAGAAAGGGTACAGGAGGGCAAGTCCTGTGTTGGCGTAACTCCGCATATTTCAATAAATTTGGAAAGAGAGAATTTGGCCTGAACAGTTCAAGTGATCACACTTAGCTGTGCCACGGTAGTATTCATTTTGGTATAGTCATAAAAAGAAAGGGCAGAGGAAGGGGATGGATTCTGACTTGATAACCTGAGAAAATTCGATGGGAAAACTCTGGGTTTGCAGTGCTGCAATAGCAGGATGTGGCTCCATATCTATTTTATGACTTGGGTATATAATCTTTCCTGTTCTAATTCAGAGATAGTAGTTTTAGTAAACAAACTCCCAATAGCAGAGTTGTTTATCATACCATGTTATCAGCAGTGAAGGCAGAAAGTACAGACAGGATTGCTGGGAGCTGCCTGTGGTTCAAGTTTTGATCCAATGATTGCTATAAGAATATTTGGTCTGTTTGGACGTTGACACTGACAATATTTTCCAAGCTTTGAAGGAGACAGGCTGATGCAGGAGAAGTGGCACAGTGAACAGGATCTCTGCAGTTCTGGCCAGCAATTTCTAATGTCCCTTTGGTCTTTTTTGCAAATTCAAACAAACCTGAAAAATTAGATGCTAGCTTTATCTCTTATTTTGTTTTGTTTTATTCAGCAGTTTAACAGATTAAAGCTTATTTTCTAGTATTAGCAGAAAAGAAACATCCAGGGTAGTTCAGGATTCCGAGAGGTAGGGTTTAGAGGTGTAAATTACTGCCATTGGTCCTCTGAAAGTGTGTGTGCAGGAGGGTGGTAGTGACCCATCGGGGTGCATTTTGCTCACTGGGCGATATTAGCAAGGGCCCAGACCCATGCTTGCATCCTTTAGTGACAGCTTTGGCCAGCTGAAGAGTTCAGGACTGGCTAAACAGTCCTCAGTACATTACACCTCTCAGATAGACTCAAACTGTCAGAGAACCCCAAAGAAGGCCCTAAGGTGTATCTAGGTGAAGTGTTACTTCTTATAGGAGAATATCACTGTAGATTTTTATCTTTGCTCAGAATGTAGAACAGCCGATGAGTCAGATTTTCTTATAATATCCAAAACCTGGGCAGAAATTCTGAGCTTGAACCATTTAAAGCTCATATGATTGCCAGTAAAAATAAGTGGTTTGCAATCTAGCTAAAATTCTGATTAACTGTCTATTCTCTGCTTGCTCTCATAATTTCCCGTACTGTTTCAGACAGGATGTTCCTGTATCTTGTTTCAGTCTGCATCTCTTTGTTTTTTGAATCACATAGATCAAATTTACAGATCAAGAACAAAATTAAGTTAAAGGCAAGTCTGATAATACTATATGCCCACATAGTGCAAGTTTGGTGCATTGTTTTTGTAACAGTTGAGGTTTTCAGGGTAGAGTTTGGGGAAGAGTCTCATTTTGTAGTAAAATTTCAGTAATTTTGGTGAGTGAGAAGATACTAAACGATCAGTATATTGACAGGCACTGCAGAGCATGGACAGCAGATGTTTGGCAGAGAACGAGAGTATTTTGGAAAAAATAAATTTGTTCATAACCACAGTCAAAATCTTTGAAATGGGTGTGAAAATGCCTGAAGTGTCACCGAAGCCTTTGACCATATGGAACATATTAATTCTTTGCTGGTTACCTGCGGGTGAGACCACAGAGCAGCTGCCTACTGATATAAACAGAACAGAGTTAAGTTACCTAATTGCTCGTGTTCTTTTCTTATCTTCTTGTATTCACTCACAGCTGATAAGGGATTTTTATTCATTCTGTAAATACAGTATGATCCTGACAACCCAGGTGATAGCAGAATAGAAAGACTACCATTTCAGATTTGAAACGTTCATGTCTGTGAACCTTGCAAAGGTATTTTGCCTCTATGGGGGTGCCACACCATCTAGCCTCAGGCAATTCCCATGCCCAGCTCAGATATCCTGTTCCAGTCATTGCCTCAATAGAGAGGCAGGCTAGTCAGTAAGTCAGCCTGCCTGTGTGAGGCCATGTGCAGTGTATTAATTCCATTGTTCATTGTTAATGGACACTGGTATGTGGGTGGAATAAAATGGAATACCTAAGTAAGAAGTCTGCTACCAAGCCAAAAATGGAATTTGGGCCTCATTTTCATTGGCTAGGATTCAATGCAATATTGTGTTGTGAACAACCCTCCGCTTTCACTTTGGAGGATGATGATGATGGTGATAAAAAAGGAACCTAGCCTCATTGCAGGGATGGTAACTTCCTGGAGTGCCACTTTTAAATGCATCTCCTGCTGCCGTTATTCCACTCCTATCTGCCAGGATGCACTGGCAGTAGCTTCCTGTATTATTAAAAAATCTGAGGAATTCTGCAAATCCGGTGGACTGCATTTGGACTACAGTTCTGCACTCTTACTTTTTGACTGCGGTCGTCTTGGTTTCTGAGTCATTTCAGCATCCAGTTCTGAGGCAATGAGACAGCTCAAGTGAAGTGAAAAGCTCACCCAAAAAAATGTCACCAGAGCAAAGGTTCAGTCTGGGGATGCACTGAGCTATGCAAAGCTATCTTTGGGGGTCAGAGATGTTCATCTCTTTGGAGAAGGTGCTCTGCACCTTACAGAAATTAATCTTTATGAGGCATGTAGGGACCATTTTATTTGGGGCCTCTTATGCTCTATGTGCCAGCTGTCAAAGGAATTCAAGGATGAGGAGAGCAGGTGAGGAGGCTGCTATTCCCCATCACCTAGTAGCAGATAAAGTCTTCCTTCCAGGTTGGTAGGGAAGCAGTGTAGTCTTATGCTGCCCAGGGAAATTGGACCAAAAGGAAGACAGGAGGCCGGGAGGCCAGAATGAATCTCAGGCCATGTCTCAGCTGCAGAGAGAGGAGGAGGGACAGGAATACAGTGGAGCAAAGTAAGCCTTGTGACCTGCATGGTTTCTCTCTACATTGCCAGCTGTAGCTCAGCAGCAGCCCAGGAGCAAAGCCTCTGCACTGTGCTGCTGAGGGGGAGCAGAGCTCCCATGCTGCCTGTGCCCAGGGACACCACCGCTGCCTGCATGCCCAGAGGTTTGATTTTACTGCCTTTAATCAATGGAAGTGCTTGTCTCTGACAGTAATTAATAAACAAAAATGGAAGCCACTGATTATGGAAATATTGGTCTTCACTATTAAACCTGTGAGCATTTACAAGTGAGGAATTCTATGGATTATAGTAACCTCTTGTTTTTAGCACAGAAAGCTCTAAAATGTCTCATAAGCATTTATGTAAATTGAAAACCTCTGGTTGTATATATATCTCTCACCACAGTGCATACGAATTGGAAAATTCGTTTTTTTACCCCAGGGGTTTCTCGCATACACCCTCATTCCCTGAAAGGTAGATGTGAAAGTTTGCAAATTGAAAGGCTCAGAGTGCACCTGAAATTTCAGTAATTAGCAGCAGAAATTTTGGCAGACTGCTAAGCTGGGGGGGAGAGGGTGGAGTGTCTGTCCAAACAGGAGTCTGCTTTTTTAAAATACACAGTTCTCAGCATTTCCAGGGACTGCTCCTCACAAAAAAAGCAAACAATTTACACAGTAGATGTTAAAGATTCAGTTTTTAGCTGGTTACATGCTTAAGCCTATTAGTATTACTGAATTGTTCAGTGCCTGCATCTCATTGCTGATGCTGCTGCACCTTTCTTTCTAGGCTCTTGTGGAATATACCGTGTATCCATCACTGTTCAAATGACTGAGTCCAATCAGCAAAGCCTTTTGACAAATAGGCTTTTGGGATTGTATTCTCTAATGAAAGTCTGTTTGTGTGTCTGCTCTGTGGAGTGCCTGTCTCTATTGTTAGTGAGGGATTAGTATTCCTAGAGCATAGAGAAATTCAAGCCAACATAGGGATCTGATTGTGCTAGGTGCTGTACAGATACCCTTTCTTCAAAAGGCTGATAGACTACATAGTGAGGACAGATTACAGGTAGGAGAGAAATGACTGATTTCCAGGGCCCCAGCTAGAGAGACAGCTTTCGCCTATGGGAAGTTGCTTATAGCAGCCAGGCAGCAGGAGTCAGTATCGATTCCAGTAGATCCACTGGGACAATGGTTCTTTGCCTCCTACTCTTTACTTTTTTAATGTATGCTTTGTAAAAATGTAGCTCAGAAGTCATTTAGCAACTGACTTATCTGTTTCTCATAGAAAGATCAGGAAACTTTTAAGTATGGTGTTTGGCACTAGTAGGATCTTGGTTTAGATTTTTTGCCTCATATCTGAGTTGTGATAGGAAATACATGAAAAATTGAGAAACGCCCAGATGCTGCAGCAATAAGAATACATAAGCACCTTAGTGGGGCAGGTATTTGGACAGCAGCACACTGACTATGTTTTACTTGCTTTTGAAAGACTTAAGTTCCTAAGTCAAATGAATTTGACAGTGTTATCTCCAGTAACGAGCTCATGAAAAATCCACCGGCTGCTAAGTGTTCTGAAAAACTACTTGGTGAATGAATAAAAGTGGCGCTTGGAGAAATCAGGTTTGGTTTGCCAACAA